CAGTAACGGGCTCCTGCTTGGCCATCATTTATCTCCCTCCCCAGCGACATCTGGGTTGGTCTATTCACACTCTCAGCATTCTATCTGCTCCAACAAACACTCAGTCTTTTCTGCTTGGATAAGGGGATTTTTCGTTACATCCATTATATGTGTATCAACATTTATGGCAGCAAGATAATTGCCAAAGAGCTCGGAGGATAAAAGGTCCTTCTTCATAATGTTCGTCCCCACCCGCTGCAAAAAATCAATATTAACATCAAGCAGGACAGTGGCAGACTCTTGTACAGCTGCTGCATCCGCAAAGTTGGAAATGTGGTTTTGAGAAAGCGTTCGGCTGGCCTAGAGAGGAAGGCAATGGCTCCAGACAGTGAGTTCCAGACCCACACCTCAGGGAAGCACATGCGTGAGGAGGGAGCACTTTCTTGTCCTCGAAACCTTCGCCCAACAACCACAAGACATTGAATCTGCTCTTCGCTTCAGGAGGCCTTTGGGAGCTTGCCAGTCCACCCACAAGCAGTTTGGCCCTGTTATCTGTAGCCAGACCCGGTGCCGAGGAGGCCCACTCCCCTTGGCCTTGAGGTGGCTGAGCAGAGGAACTGAACAAGAGGCCTTCAGTCCTGCCACCAGGCCCTATCTGTGCTGCTGGGCGAGGGGCAAGGGAGGAGTGCTTCTGCTTTACCAGACTTTTTGTCTGGCCTTCTGCCACTGGGCCACTCCACCTTCTTTTCCTGTCCCTTGGAATCTCTCCCCCATTTCTCTATCTAGGCGACTGAAACTGGTGCTTACTTTCCCAGAAAAGGACAATTTTGCCCCCAAATAAATCAATCCTTAGACCTGGAAGGAAACCAGACTCAGGGGGTTTGATGACAAGGCAAGGAGGAAGGGAAGAGCTGCCTGACGGCATGCTGCTAGGAGTGCAGGACACAGATTCTTGAGCCCTACCTAATGATCTCTGCCATGCCTCATGGCAGGAGAAGAAAAGCCAGAAGCAGTGAAACACAGCTGACTGCCTCTGCAAAGCCCTCGAAAGAACAGCAGTGCAACTACAGTCAGCAAAGCTGTGGCTTAAGATCCACTGTGTCCCTTTTGTAAGCCCAAACAGTAACTGCATTTCCCAGAGATGCCCCACTGACAGGTGCTTTTTAAGCTCTAAAGTCACGACATTAAGAAAGGAGGGGGCATCAAACATGCTGGCCAAGCTTGAAATACCCTCTTCCTTCCTGCCAAGGACTGAGGGCAGTGAGTCCCTCACCTGAAGACGCAGTCCATAGGTGGCCCCTCCAGCCCCAGCGCGCAACAGGCTATTTCCTGGTTGAGCTTAAAAATTCAATGACGTTCCTGTTTCAGCCCACACATCTGTGTCACTGTCAGCGTCAGTGGCAGGAAAACAGCCGAAATCACCCTTTGCTGATGATTTCCTAACATGGAATTTCCTGGTATCTGCTAAAGCCTTTCATCTTCCAAATGCTGCACCCCCAACACATCCTAGGGACAAGGAAAACTGAAGGTGGTCACAGCAGGGGGAGCGTGGTTTTGAAAGAGAGCTTGCAAGGAGGAGGTGCAGCTCCTGAGACCCTTTTAAACCAGGGAGAGGGAAAGCCTGCTAGTTTTCCATCCACTAGGAACAAGACAGAGACCCCCTCCATCTCCCTCTTGCCCTTTTCTCGCCTCCCCTTCTCAAGGTCCACTTGGTGCACCGCTCTCCAGCCAGCGGGCTTGGCATAAGCTCGCTCCGGAGGAGGGAGGTGGGGGCAGCAGTTGAGGCAGCCCCCGGAGCCAGGAACAGGCGCGGCAGCAGCACCAGGCCGCAGAGCAATGTAGGAGCCCGTGGCAGTGCCCTCTGCGGACCGTCCTAGTCATTGTGTGGCTCGCACACACGGGGACGAGGCTGGTACTTGAGGGGAAGAAGCTCATTAGCTGCTCTGGCTGGCTGCAAACAGCTGGTGTGTACGCGGGTTCAAGGCCGTCGTAGCTTCTCTCTTACGGAGGCACCATATGCCATCCCGCACATCAGCAGCTTTATTTTCCAATGATCTTGCTCCAAAAGAGAAGCACAAAGGGGCTGGGAGGAGCACTAGCACCACTAGCTTAGCCGTTGCTTACTTGCTTGGTTTTAGATGCAGTTGGGGTTAGTGTGCATGTGCACGAGGGTGCTCGTGCTCGCGGCGGGGGGTTAAGGTTTCACATTCTACTGCAAAGACCAGAGAACAAATGCTCGCCCAACACTTAGTAGTAACTCCGGAGGTGGGCAGGGAGGAGTGGGGTGAGGTGGGAAAAGGCAGCGGATCCTGGCACCCCTCGGATGGGAGGGGCGGGGCAGAGAACCGGAGGAATCTGCCTCGGCTCTGGAGCCGGATCAGCCTCAGTGGGGCTCCGCCCCCTTCCCCGGATTTGTTGCTTTCATTGTCAGTATTCCCTTGCAACAAACTTCAGGAGAGAAGCTCACCACCCCGGGGGAAGGGAGGAGCAGGCTGGCAGGAGGGCCAGAGGTTCCTTCAAGACGTGTAATGTTTCCTAGCGCACCCTGGCTCCCCGACTTTTCTTTTCGGGGGCGGGGGTGATGTAAAGGACAGGGCCCGCTAAGTCATCACAGCAGCTAATGCCTGCAGCCTACTAGTTCGGGACACCCCCAGGTGCCAGACGCTGAGTGGGCTGGAAGCAGGAGGCTCACGCGCTGTCCCCGCTGGGAGTCTTAACTGCGGCTCCTGCTCCCTCTGCCCCTCCAAACAAAGGGCACCCGCGAGAGTTTCAGCAGCCAGAGGGACTGCGAAGGAATGACCAGAGCTAGACAGGGTGGCGAAAGCCTTCCAGTGCTTGCGCCAGGGCCTCTCGTGGGCGCCAAGGCAACCCTGGGCTGGGACCGAGGGGGCCAGCTGGAAAGTGAAACCTTGGAAAGGGCGCCCCCTGTGCCCGAGCCCGGCCACAACCTCCACCGGCAGCGTCTGCCCACTTCTCTTTGAGAGTGTCCGTCTCCCCAGCCTGCCGGTGTCCGCGCCTGCGCCCGTGCCCGCGCCCGCGCACACCAGCTTGCCTAGCGGCCCGCTGCCACCGCCGCCACTGGGACCTAGGGCGTCCAAGGCCGGCGGGCAGAGCGCACAGCAGGCGCCCTGGGCTGGAGTTCTCCGCCTGGCCCGGCCCCAGCGCAGGGTGCTCTGAACGCAACTCCCCTCCCAGATGCCTATAACTGCCCTCCCGTCCCGAGTACCGAGTCTGGAGTCCCGAGTTCCCAGCGGCCAGCAGTGGCTCGAAGCCACTTGGAGGCAGCCACCCCCAACCCCTGCCTCTGCGTCCCTTTCCCCTTCCCTCGCTCCAGCCTCCTGGGAAACAAAGGGGCTTTTTATAAAGCGGATTGTTGGCGGCGGCCGTGGCGGCGGCGGGGGAGGGAGGGGATCTATAAAGACAAGAGGAGGTGGGAGGGGAGGGGAGAGCCTGCGCGGCCTTGGCCCCGGGGGCAGAGCTGCGGTGGCGGCTGGGAAGCCCCCGCGGGGGTATGAGGACCCCGCCCGCCCGGCGGCGGTGGGCACTGGTAGGAGCCCGCGGCTGCCTGCCGAGAACTGAGGTGGCCGACACGATGTTGCTCTCTCCGCAGTCCGGGCAAGATGTGATTTCCCGACCACCGGGTACCGGCGGGGCCACGAGGCGGTGCAATTTCAGTGGGGGTCTCTCCCGGGAGATCCAGGCCCTCTCCCTAGCTGATTCTTTCCAAATTGTCTGGACTTGAGGAGACTTTGCGTCTTTGTTACCGCTGGACTGTCCTAAGCTCGGCTCCCTGGCCCTCGCAGACAATGTCCTGGAGAGGGCCTTGGTCGATCTCAGCCAAGGACACAGCACGTTTGCCTTGGGGATGGCGCCCGGGGATCCTTCTGCTGCCAAACAACAAGGACAAGCCACCTAGCAAAGGGAGTCCTTTATCTCTGCCCACATCCCCCAGCCACTCTGGGCTCCTGCCCACTCGCACACACCCACCCTAGGGTGCCCGGCTCAGCTCAGTCGTACCCAGCTGCAGGACGCTGAAGGCTCGAATGCGCCAGCGCAAGGCGCACAGGAGAAGCCAGGTTCCGACGGCTTCAGGATTGCACTTTCCAGCAGGCAAATACTGTCAGGGTCCGAGTTTAATCACGAACCCCAGTCAGACAGCATCGCCAGCTTTCCGGGAGGCTTAGGTCACACACTGCACCTGGACGAAGCCTGATCAAGCCAACTGGCCCAGAAAAGTGTTTGGTGGCGCTCCGGGGGGGCTTCCCGCCTGCCCTGGCCGCGCCCGGCTCTGCACTCTGCCTCCCTGGATGCCCAGAAGCCCAGAGCGCCTGGTGGGACAGCAGCAGAAGCTGCGTGGAGTCGCCAGAAGCTGCGTGGAGTCGCCAGCTCCGCTCCACTCGGCTCCTCAGATCGCTGAGGGCTGCTCTCCCGGGAGAAATTGGCAGGGCTAAGAGCTCAGGGCAGGGGGCTCCCCGGGGCGCACAAGCCCTCTCCACCACGCTCCGCGGCAGCAACGGGTTCGCCGCTGGAGTATTCTTCCCCTTGAGCCCGCTGCCCACCCGGTGCTTGGTGCCTGCACCCAAAGCAGCCAAAGCGGCTTCGCTGCTGGCACCTGGGCTGTGACCGGCCCAGGGTTGCTGGGAAGGCACGGAAGCCTCCAGGTAGCCCAGGGGAGCTCAGAGCCCGCTCAGCTCGCGCTCCTCTGCCTTTCCTCCCGGTGCAGCTGCCTCCCTGATTTCAGACGCACGCCTGCCTGCGGGGCGACTAGCAGCAGGCAGAAACCGGGCCCTGGCCGGGGGGGCAACTGGAGCTGTGCTCAGCCAGGCTGGGCTAGTCAGAAGGGGCATGACCAGCTCCCAGTCCAGGTGGGCCCTGCGCTCCCAGCAAACTTCGGGGGCTCTTGGCTCATGACACCCGGGGCCCCGGATCCTCAGCCATGGGGCCTGCAAGCAGGGGCCACAAACGCGCCCCGGATCCTCCCTCCTGAGCAGTGGGACCTCCCCGCCGGCCCTCACCCTTACCGTGCTGTGGAGCTCTGATGTGACCTGGGCTGTGTCCGAGGGGCAGGCGCCCGCCGAACGTCCAAGCCCGGTAGCAAATTTCCCCCGCTCGCGGCCGCTGCCCCGCGCCCCCGCGTCCCCGCGCCCGCTGCCGTGGGCTTGGGCTCGGGCTCGGGCTCGGGCTTGGGCTCCGGCTGGGGTTGGGGCTTGGGCTCCGGCTTTGGCTCAGGTCTGGGCTTCAGCTCGCGGCCAAGTTCATGCTGGCTGGTGGCGCTGCAGCGGCGGCCTCAATCTGCTTGCTCCATTCCCACCGCCCTGCTCCGCGCCGAGCCCAGCGAGCCGCGCCGCGCCGTGCGCCCGGAAGGTGGAGTTTCGGGGTTTAAGTTACTGATAGGCATTTCTCACTGCCGTGTCACTCGGGGAGGAGGAGACACGCACGCCGCACACTCACACACCCTCACACCGCCGCGGCAAGCGGCTCTGGCCTTAAAGGAGAAGCTGAGCTGTGCTGCTCTGCCCTGCCCTGCCTGCGACCCCTCCGGCCCAGCCAGACTGGCCCTGAGCCTCAGCTCACAGGACTCCAGGGCCAGGACAGGGCCGAAGGCGGCCAACGAGCTGCAAACGCCCAAGGACCCCGGGAACCTCGGAGACTTTCCGGAGGGCAAAGAGGCCCGGGTTGGCTTTGTGGGGCGGGTGGGCAGCTGTATTTTGCAGCAGTCAATATAAACCAGCACTGGGGCAAAGCAGACTTTGGCCCAGCCCAGCCCAGCCCAGGAGAGCGCACTCACCTCCTCGGGTCCCTGAGCTCAGCCCGCGTAGCCGCCTTGAGCGGCGGGGGCTGCAGGTGGCTCTGCCAGCCTGGCTGCTGAGCAGGTGCAGGGGCCACAGACAGGAGGGCGCTAGGCATCGGGCATGGCAAGTGGGCAAGTGGACCCAGCCGGGCAGCGGGCCGGGCGCGCTGACTAGGAGACCCTCAGGCCATGGCAGCTCTTTCCCGCACCCCCAGCTGGACGGTTGGGTGTGCCAGGCCGGCAGGATGCGCGAAAACGGAGAGCCTGGTGGGGGCCAGCCCTCGGAGGAGACCAGACCCTAGGAAACCAAGAGACAAAGACAGGGCTAGGGGGAGATGCAAGCCAGGAAAAGCACAGGCAGTGACGGAGAGAGGCGCGGGGACGGAGAGAGGTGGAGAGACAGGCCGGCAGGTAGACTGGCATGCAGGCCAGGCTCATCCCAGAGCCATCTGGTGGACCCCTCCCGGGGCTCCCTGACTCCAGAGCTAGGGAGCCCTCTGTTCTGGGAGGGGCGCTCACCTGCAGTGGGCGGCTGCTGCATGGGGAGCGTCAGGCTCCTCCTCCTCCTCTCCACCACCAGCTCTCCGGCATGACCACAGAACCCCCCTGCAGTGGCCACCTGGGCACCAGGGCTCTCAAGAGGGCGGGCTACTGACCTGGACCTGCCCCTCCCCGTCCAGGGCACCCAGGGCCCCTGGCTGTGCATGTTGCCCACGGGGTCCTGACCCCGGAAGACGGGAAGCCCTAGTCCAAGCTGGGCTGGGCTGGTGCGCTCCTCTCAGCAGGGGCATCCAGGCCAACACCTGCGGCTTCTGCAGGAGCCTGGGTTCCTTGCAAAGGGCTCAGGTGGCCTGGCACTAGAGCTGAGACCTGTGGCCCCCTTCCCGCCCCCTCCCTGCTCTCCCAGAGAGCGGCCTGGCTGCACACTTGCTGCATCAGAGCCTGCTCCAGGCGCCCTAGGGACCTGGACTTCCACAGGTGGCAGCAGTTGCAGGAGCTGAGTGCAGTCTCGGGAGGCCGAGGCTACTCCCAGGTCTACTCTGACAGAGCATGCCCTGGCTCTAGCATACGGGCCAATGCCAGGCTGGGCCTCCATTCAGGAGTCCGAGCGGCGTCGCCACCCACGGAGCGCTCCTTGCGTTGCCTCTGCACCCCAGACCTTAGGAAAGCTCCCGGTCCCTGCAGAACTCAGCGCAATTCCTCCGTGGGGCTCTGAGCTTGCCCACCACCCCTGAGTGCTCCTCTGCACAGCACAGAGGGTGGGAAGGACTCACCTGGGCTGGGCCCGCCCTTCTGCTTAGGAGGGTCAGGCAGGCAGGAGAGGGTATTGCTCCCTGGTGACTGACCCTCTGGGCTGGCCCATGGCTGCCCTTGCCTCCAGGCCCCACAGGGAGGCGGGTCACCCAGGCTCTCAGCGGCCCCTCCAGCTGGGAGCTGCCCAGCAGGTCTCTTGAAGGGAATCCCGAATCCCTGGGTAGAGCGGAGGATGTCCCGGCTGTCGGGGACACTGGCAGGAAGCCACTAGAATTCCCTCCTGTCCCTCAGTGTGCACTAGCCAGAGCCACGCAGGAAGCCCAGGCTCTGCAACCAGGCCTCCGCTGGAGCCCCACCCGTGCGCCAGGGTGTCCCCAGGGAGGCTGTGGTGTCCAGCCCCCGGCATGTCCTGCAAGCCTGCGGCAGTGATGTCAGAGGGCTAATTGCTTACCCTGCCTGCATGTCCCCGGAGAGCCACTAGACAGTCACCTATGCAGCATGGCCCCTAGCCCACCACTAGAAGCTGGGCCACGCTAGCGACCTGAGCCCGGCCTGACCCAAGCCCTCTCCCCAGAGGCCCTCCATCTCAGCTCATGGCGCGCCCAATTTCAAGCTGCCAGGCCCACCGGGACCGCGCCTCCGCTGTGCGCTTGCCACGTGCACGTCTGATCCAGAGGACACTGCTGTTGCCCCTCTTCCCAGCACATCCGAGTCCCACCCTTCCCAGCTCTTGCCCTCCGGCTGCCCTCCTGGTCCTAGCCACTGGCATAGGCTGCCGCCCGACGGCTGCAGTAAGCAGTAGCCACCAGGCAGACTGAGCTGCTTCCCCCCGGCCTGCCCCCATGCCCTGGTCCCTGTGCCCAGAGCTGCACGACTCCCCATGGCCTGAGTCCCACCGCAGGAGCCCTGCTGTCTACAAGGCCTGGTCGGCCTCCTTCCTCCCTCTGCTCCGCTGCGCCTCCAGCCTAGGCCCCTTCCTAAGACAGTAGGCACCCTGCAGGCTCACGCCCTTCGCACTACAGTAGGGGTTCCTTGGGGCTGGAATTCACTTCCCCAGATGGCCACCGCAGGCCCCTCATTTCCTTTAATCTTGACACCCATGTCGCCTGCCTGGCCACCGTGTCTGTGCCCATCTCTGGCACTTCCCCTCCCCCTCCCTGCTTTGTTTTCTCGGCAGCACTCCCCAGCAGCTGGCCTCCTCTCTCCTAGGCTGCATCCCAGGGGGGCAGCCTCTGGTCCCCAGCCTCATCCACACCCTGCGGGGCGCAGTGTCTGCCTGCCTGCCTGCAGCTTTGCAGAAAGCCCCGGAGGCCGCGGCACTGCGCACACCCACTGCCAAAGGAAGCCCTGCTGTCATCACACTGGACGGGGGTCTGTGACCTGAACAGATCTAGGAGACCTGGAGGTCAGGCAGAGCTCTGGACTCGGCTCGGGTCACGCTACGGAAGGGCACCCTGGCCCCGATGGCTTGGGCGTGGTCTCGCAGGCAGCCACAGAGGTACAGAGGGTCATTCCGTGGTTTTCTCCTAAGACACCGATGGCTGATCGAGAAGCGGGAGAGGTGGCCAGGCACAGAGGCCGGCCGTGGCTGTCTCCTCACCGAGGAGAGTGAGACAGCCGGGCCCTTTCCCCCGCCCCCCCAAAGCCCATGCCCTGGCCTTGAGCTAGCGGTGTGTGTGTTCCCCGATTTCTCCAGTTCTCACCTGTTTTCCCTGCGGGAGTGCTGCACCCACAGGCCTGAGAAGGACTCTTGTCTGCACTCTAGGTGAAGAAATGGGGAGTGCAGAGAGGCTCCCGAATGGCAGAAGAGGAAGCAGTAGGCCCCCCAAGTTTAGCCCACTTCCCCTTGCTGTGTGGCCCCCTGCCCAGGGTGGACAGCCCAGTCCAGCAGATGTGGCCAAGGAAGTATCTCCGCAGGGGCCTCTGGGAGCTGCTGCTTTCTGAGGGATGCTCCTCGCTTTGCTCCTCAGTGGCTGCCAACAAGTGGGCTGAGGCCGGCCTTGTGGGGCCCAGGAGCACCGTGCCAAGGCGCATATTGGCCCTGTCGTGGTCTGACGCAAACGTGGCACTCCAGGGTTTGACGGCCACTTGTGTTCATCATCAGAGTCCTGTGGACTTGTGCCAAGCTTCCCCAAGCTCACAGGACTGGTGCCGGGCTTCATGCGGGCAGTCTCTGGAATCTTGTGTGTGGGCACAGGCAGGCTGTCTGAGAAGTAGACACATCTCGCTGACCGCTTGCCCTCATCCCTTGCTCCTGGTCCTCCTGCGGCTCCCCACTGCCCTGCCGAAGGTACGGAGTTCCGGCTCCCCCGTCTGGCCCCCAGGGTCCTGTCTGGGACGTGGACCCCAGCCTCTGTTTCCAGATTCCTCTTGAGGCGCTTCTCCACCTGTCCTGGCCGGCTCTGGACGCCCAAGCACCTGGCCGTCGCACGTCTGCCTTTCTGATGAGGCTCCCCTGTGGGAACCCTGCCTGTCCTCGGTGCTCATCTGCAGGGCCTCCTGCTGAAGGTGCTCCCCAGCCAGCACCACACTGGGGCCCTCCTTCCCCGGGCCTCAAGGCCTGGCTCTCTATCCCTAACTCCTCAGGCCTTTGCCCCTGGCTCCTCCTGCTCCCCCAGTTTCACCCTGGCTGTTGGGGATCCCCCAAAGCCTCCGATGGACTCACGATTGACGGTCTGTAGGGATGACATGGGGGTCAGGGGCCGTCTGGCTGGCAGAGTCAGGACCGGGAGAGGGGAAGAGAGGTTGCAGATGTGGCCGTCGCGTCTGCACCGCCAGCTGCAAAGCCACAGAATGGGGCTCTGGAGCTCCAGGCCCCGCCACCCTGCTGGACCTCATGTGCACCCCGCCTTGGCTTGGGGAGCTGCATCCAGCGACCTTAGCAGCTGGAGGCTGCAATCTGCGGGAACCCAGGAACGAGACGGAGCAGGCCCAGGACGGGGTGGGGACCTCCTATGCAGTGACAGCAGCTGGACCACGGTCTGTGGGCTGGGAGGCCCTGGGGGAGGCCAGCTCTGCTGCCTGCTGGCTGCACAGGGCCCCCAGTGACCCGGAC